GACTACTTTCTCCGACCCAGCCTTGCTTGATTCCTCCTTTTTAAAAGTCCAAGCTTTCTTTATTTAGGAGCAATCCCAGGCATTTTGAATATACTCGTGTGATACTTCCCGAGCAATCAAAGAGTTTTCTCGGGGCATTCTTGTTGACATTCTCTGGCATTCGTGGTGTACCTTTTCTCCATGACTTCCCCGTCCAATCTCCTTACTGGGAAAAAGAGGAAAGACCGGGAACTCCGAAAGGCGGAAGGAAGAATTCAAAGACACTGCAGAAAGAGGGCGGTAGAGAGGAGGCTGCGGCTTTCTTCGCATCGCGGTTTGAACGTAGACTTCAGCGGTGATGGTCTGGCTGTTGTCGAGCGGCTCAAAGAACCGATACTTTGCAAACAAGTATCGACACAACTGCAGCGTATCCAGGAAGTTCTGTTCTGGCCATTGTCCGCCGAGGATACGTTCCACTTCTAGAGCCAGACGGCCTCCCTCAATACGAAATGTTTTTGTGGATGGATGGATGGATGGATGGATGGAAGACATGCGAAAGCCCACTGGCCATCCTTTCAAGTGGCTCCAAGTCTTTGGAAGATCGTCAATCACACGCCGATAACAGTTCGATATCGGGATTGGAAAGAGCGGTGCAGCTCTCCGTCCTCTTCTCCTGGCCCTTCCCACCTACGTTTGCTCGATCGGCCGCAGAACTTGAGGGGGGTGATACCAATTACGTAGGTCAGACCGAAAGAAGACTTAAAAAGTTGCGACACGTTCTCCTCGTAGGAGATTAACGTGAGGCGTCTAGGGACAGCTGTTAAGGTCTCGGGCAGCGGAGAGTCCATCACTTTCGCTCCGTTTCCCGGAGCAAGGATGGGGCATATCGGGGACAGGATTGTGTTTTTGGAGTCAGCCAAGGTGCAATGTCTGTGCTGCACGCCGGGCAGACACCGTCGGACATAATTCAGAAGCCCCCATAATTCAGACGTTCACGTAGACCTACGATTTTGTAATGAAAGGCTATATTTGGGATGCGGCAATGGGGCATTCCAGAGACATGGGAGCCTTCAGAAATTGTAGATCTGTACCTGGGCCAGTATTTTAGTAGTACTTCAGTATTTTGAAGTTAGTTATCACTCTTAGAATTATGGAAAATGGTGCAGATGCCAGCTAATGCGGAAAAAAACAGGAAAATTTCGCTAATCGTGAAAAATGGCAAAAATTAGCGTCATCAAAGTTATTAATGAATCGCTAGTTGTTGAAGTCTCACGTGCATCGCACATTCTAGTTAGAAGATAAATTGCATGGTTGGGTGATTGACCGAGAGATTCGAAATAAAAGCGTTTTTGCTTTTACATTTTATTTCTTAGCGAAGACATCATTGCATCCGTGACACTATTTAGGAAATTATGTTTAGGTTCGCTATTCACGAAGGAAAGAAAATCCTCATAACAAAAAATGTTTCATTATGCTTCTAAATCATTTTTATATTTTCATGGTTGACGTTCTTCCTCTGATGTACAGATGATTCCAAGATACATCGTTCTTCACTGCTTCACCTTGTTGGTGCCGGGATTTTCTGTTTTTGCTTTCAGAGCAGGAAAGGAACGAAAAAAAGAATCATTATGAAAAAAGAATCAATTATCTTCCCCAACAGAGAGGCTCATCAGGTAGGAGTGAGCTATGTTTCGTTGAGAGGGTCAGAAAAGGTGGTGCCACATTAATCTGAATAGCGTGAGATGTAATATCCTTCATAACTTCCGTAATAATCGAAAATGGAGACCGGAATGCATATTGATAGGCCGGCGCGTACTGGGTCGATATGAACAAGGGATCATCGCTACCATTGTGGAGGTAGCTTCTTTCGACATGAACTGTGGATGTTGAAAGGGTGCTCTTGGTGGAGTTGCTGAAAATGGTGTGGGTTGACACGTTTTGCGGCTGCAGTTCCACCAGGAAGGGAAGTATTGTCGCAGGAACCCTCTCACTCGTAACTCATAAATTGTCTCAGATAAGTGTAGAAAATGAAAAAATGCTGTGCCTGTGCACGTATTCGTTTTGTCCCAGAATTACCGGAAATTTGATTTTTCCGCCTAGCCTTTACCAGGCATGGAAGAATACGGCTTTCAAAGCACCTGTGCGTGAGGTTAAGGTAGCAGATACATACACCAGTTTGCCCCGGATACGAAATCTCGTTATGTTTGCACAATTTTGCGACAACTTGCATATGCGTGAAGTATTGATTGTGTATCTTAATTTCGTATTTAAAAAAAAAACCTATTCAAATTGAACTCATCAGGCTCAGTCCATTCACGATGATTTCCACATTTTCTTTCGGTTGTCAATTAATCCACATCATTTTCATGGCAGTTCGTGATCAAGAAAAAAGCGTTCCCTGCGTGTCATGTGTATGAACGCAAGAGCATTCATACACATGACACAATCCACACACATAATCCATCCTCTTGCATTCGTGCTCATCGCGTCGGATGAAGACTGAAGCGAGTCCGAACGCGCGCAAGCACTTGCGCTGAGGGGAAATGCAACGTTCTAATGAAGCGAAAGAGACTGTGAGTAACCCGTCAGAACCAAGTCCGACACATGGACTTGCGATTCTTCATTACGGGATGCCGGCGTGCGTGAAGACGCATGTGTTCTTGCGTTCGTATGCACACCGTCTCACGTCCATATGGGTCACATGCAAGTAACGCTAAGTACGAAACGGCCGCAAGCCCATACCCGATTCCAAAACGAGATAACAGGCCACGCAGGCGGCCTTGGCGATGGAATGAGGGGGATACTCTCCAACTCGGTGCGTGACTCGACGCGTACCGCCATTTTGGAAGCGTCACGTGACGTCGATGCACGTATTGCGGTCTCTCTCCCTGTTTGAATTAGAAGGGATCGTATCTCACCATTACCAGGAAGACATCAGCGACGTCTGCATTACATGGATATTGAAACGAATTTATCGTGATCAATTGAATCACCCTTGCATAAAATTATTTGCTGCTTAACCATGTAAAACCTTGTTTTTTGCTTTTAGAGCAGGAAATAAAAAAAAACTGAATCATTCCTTTTCCTTTTCTTCTCTGGCAGAGGGGTTTACTAGATAGGAATAACTTATGTACCTTTGAGAAGGCGAGGAAACGTAGTGCCGCATCGATCTAGTAGAATGGTGCGTATTATCCTTCATTACTAAATAATGAAACTGTCGACCGGCATGGACATGAATAGACCCGCGCGTAGCGGGTCGATGTGAGAAACGGAATAACGCTACCATGATGGAGGCACCTCCTTTATACATGAACTGCCGGTATTGTAAGGGTGCTCTTCGTGGAGTTGCAGAAAATGGTGTGGGTTGATACGTTTTGCGGCTGCAGTTCCACCAGGAAGGGAAGTGTTATCACAGGAACCCTTTCACTTGTAAGTGTCCATCTCACGGAAACCCATACGGAGTACTTCTTGCGTTGTAGATGTTGTCAAAAAGTGCTGTGCACACTTATGTCGTACGGAAGCGGGTGTTTCGTGAAAATTGACTCAGCTTTAAATCCGCCATTCTTATTGAACCCGTCAGTCTCGGCATGCTAATTTTCACGTTTACATTCTGTTGAAAATCATTTCCAAGGATTTCCATGCAAGTCCACGAAATGGTTTTAAGCACAGGATTAAAGTTTTTCTTTCCATTTACCCGATTCCTTAAAAGAAAGTGGCTTCAACAAAGGATAAAAAGGGATATCTCCATCCCATTCATTCCGATGAACCGTATTGACTCACGTGAATCAATGCCAGTGAACTTCTCGTTCCTCTTCAAAACTCTTATGATAGGTGTCCATCTAGCGATTCGTAATAATGAAGTCTACAATCAGAGGGGAACCTTTGTTTCCTGGGAAGTTCGATGCACGAAGAGCGTGAACGTGTTCGGGTGAGATAGTAACATACTTCATATAAAACATCACGAAATTCTGCGCGAATTGGAAGGCACAGAAAGGTTCGAAACGCAAGTAATCAAACCCCTAATATCTGCTGATTTTAACTCCAGGGCTCAGATCGAACTTTTTAGCATGCAATCGAAAAGAGAGCATGAAATTCTAAACCCATTTCATGAAGTTTCGCGCGCTACGCCTCCTTCGGTCGAAACGAGCAGCCGTAGCATTTAAAAAAATCCAAATTGGAGATTCTGCAATGGGAAAACGCGTTAGAAATTCACGCCGGCGTCGCGGCAGCACAAAGGTTCACACGCCATCCACCATCCCAGAGGAACGTCCAGCGTGGAATGCAGACATCTATAAACTGCTCGTGGCGTGGATTAGGGCGAACGGCAATACGAATTGAAGGATGTCCTCCGATTCGTCTCATTTAAGCATATCGCTGGCATCACCGTGAAATTCGCTTGTTTACGTACCAGGTATTCTTTGTTTACGAGGGTAGAGTTACCTTGGTAATCACATAACTGCCTAAGTCAATGCCGATAGCACCACAACAGACGATATCGAAGCTAACGTGACTGTCTGTTTGACCATTTGTTTTGCGAATTTCGACAATAGTGAGAATCGGAAGTGGTCCAGGTCACTTGCGTTCAAGTAGTTGAAGCGATAGTTGCAAGAAGAGATGGGAGTACTTAGAGGATACTACCCCGTAGAAAACGCGATGACATAAGTCAACAACGCGCTCCAAAAAGAACATTGAAATCAGGACTGTTAGCCCGTATAAATACCGTATGCAGGTATATAATCTGCATTTGAAAATAAAGCGTTTTACGTTCAGGTAATGACGAGTTCGACTTCATGAAGTCAAACTTATTTGTATGCAGGGCTGTGATTAAAGTGTTCCTCTCTACTTGGGATTATCAACAGTGAGATGAAATACTCAAATGACTTCCAATAATAAATATGTAACCCAAGTTAACATGGGAAAGTGTTTTAGCTCACAGGCTTAAGCTCTCTGCTAGACGCAGTTATACCATTATGATAAGTCAGTAAGTTCAAATTGAGTAAAATGAGCAGATAGCACGTGACATGGATACTTCTCTGCAGGTGATTGCTATCATCACCATCGATGTGCTCATTCAAGACTTTGTCAGAAATGGGGCGACGAGTGGGTGAGTTCTCACTTCTGTCACTGGCCATCGAGTACGAATCTCACGATTGCATAGACGATAGTATTAGGATGGGATCCCTTACAAAAACATCCACCTTCACCCACGGGATGAAATCGGCTGGCGAAAGAAAAAGATAGGAGCAGCTGCAATAACCAGAACGATGACCTCCCGTGGGAGGTTTTGGATCCCTGTGTGCATTCCACCAGCAAGCGGATTTTGATCAAGAGGAAAATATACTAAGCTATCAACTTTTTCCACTAGTATGTCGAGTTTGACTCGACATTACATGCGTTTGCTACAGGTCGTATATCGTGACTGACACGACAATCTTTTCGAAGCCAATTCAAATCGGTCTCTGCAAAATTTAATGTAAAATTAATTTTTTTTACAAAGAATTTAAGTGATCACTATTACATTCAGCAGCCATGTCCCCATTTTTGAAAAATAAATTCGAGTTGAACGAGTTAATGCATCCAGTTATTCCAGGTCAGCTGAAGCAGTCACGATTAAATCTTACCCTCTCTCGTTAGGCCGGCACGAGCCACTGCTAGCGCCGCCATATTCTTCTTGCTGATGATCGTCTATTTGGTCTGCTCACTCGTCCTCATTTATGCTGCGGAAAAAGTGAGTGCGTGTGATTTCAGAAACATCTTTCAATAAAGCCGATTTCATCACGGTCCATGTGGAATTTCGCAGAAGAAGAGAAAGCTCCACTTGCCATGGCTGATTGTACACCCACTGATAACAGCAATATTGATGGCCGTCATGGGAGTCGCAAACACTGGACCTGTATTCGACGATTACACCGTCTACACCTACATGCAAGTGACCCACGCCGTATACAACGTAGGAGTTCTTCGGATGTTCATCATTTTATGTGAGTACGACTTCTTCATGGAATGAAGCATTCAGCCTGCACAGTTTATCTCGCAATGTGTCGTACATTTTTGCGTATCAGCGCCATATTTTGGCAAAGAGAAAGGAATCATTTCCCTCTTTTGAAATGTTACTTTGTCTGTAGCCCGGTCCTGCTACTTCTAGATTTGGATGAGATCTGGCCTTTGATGAAATATGCACCCGAATGCAAACAAGCAACGCTACTTGTAAAAGCCTCTAAAAAGATTTTATTCTTCAGGCTTTCAATTATTTTTCTTAAACAATATTCGGATGGCATGCCTTATTCGTACCGAAGTACCCGAGTTCAACGCCCTCACATCTGTACATTTTCCACCCTGTCCGCAGGGTTCCTCATCTACTTGTGGGTGGTGGTGGTCGCAAATTACCAGAAGCTGGGAACGCAGGGCACCACGCAACCACTCAGCAACTGGCGCGGCAAGGGCCCATCTCAAGGGAATTCCCAGGAAACGGTGGTCCCCTGAATGGACCTCCTGGGCTGGAGAGCCTCCTCGAGGGGAACCTGCGCCTCTTCCGGCGCCTAACGTCATCTTTCATTCGTTTCCTCTGTAGCCGGATGTCGCGCATGCACTTTGCCAAAGAGTGACATTTTCACCACACAAGTACATACCTATTAATAGAAGGAATATTCAATTGGACAAGCTTGAGTAGGACTGCAAGTATGGAATGCAAAGAAAGATTGTAAGACGAAAACCATCACCCGCGCATATATTACATATGTTTTTTTTTTATCTTCTAGAACGCCAAATCTTGATTGAGCTTGCTCTTCTCAACGGACAAAACAAAGCCTATGTCGGGATACGAGAAAGTTACAGTACAGTATATGCTTACATTTTTTTATTATATATATGCGCAATGTTGTGTGCTTTGTCAGTAGGTTAATTGTATCTATAGTTATATAATGTTTTGGAGGTGTATTTACGTGGAATATGTAAAACTCTTTCATGACCGGAGGCCAACGTTTTACTAGCGGTGGAAATTAGTGATTCATTTGCGATTAGTAATTAATAAGTGCAGTAATGTTGAGCTATTTAATTTTTTGTTTTCTTAGGAAGAGGTGTTAGTGAGGCGATTTCAAGCGGTATACGGCTATTTATGATAGAGATTTCATTAAATGCATTTAATTTGAAAATGATAATCGTGGATATATGCCTCAAAAACTGAAGCAGATCCTGTTATAACCATGGATGCAATCAACGGTATCTCAAAAACCAGATAGCGAGAAATTCAAAATCTTAGGGACATAACTCGAGTTAAGCAGAACCAGAACCAGTTGGACGAACATCGGTAGGAAGTGTGATTAAATCATAATACTAATCAGAGATTTCATGAGAACAATTATCTGGAAAGTTATGAGCTGCATTTTAAAGTTCAGTTCATAAAAATATTGGGAAAAATTTGTAAATACTTGTGAAGGAATTGCACTTCGTTCTAATTTAAGTCCTTCCTTTTCATAATGTGATTTAAAGTGCCAATGATACATTAAGTAATTGGTAAGTACAACGTGAGCCGCAATATTGCAGTACGGCGTCGAAGTTATCCAAAACTTCTGTACCTTTTTAATCCGAAGTTACCGAAGAAAAGTAACTTTAAAAAATTATTGACGTTTTCCAATGTGTTGCCAAATAACTCTCATGCCTGCATTATTTGCAGTCAGTTAACATTTTTTTCCTGCAACTGGAGAGAAGCGGTCGGATTATTTTCCTGTATTTTCAATGTTGACAGACATATACAGATTGATCATCATTGAGAAAAAATGTTTGTATTTTCTATTCTCCCTACATAAAATTTCGTGTCCGTTCTTGGTACCATTCTGAAAATTCCATGCATATATTTTGTTGAAATGTGGCAAAAAAACGTGAATTAGTAAGGGACAAACAAAAATTGTGCACTACACTATTTTTTAGATCAGCCACAAGATTTTCATGAACTTTTCGAAATCCCCTTAAATATTTTCGTAGGCTGGACAAATTTGTCATGTTTCATCACAAAACTCAGTTCCCATTGTCTATGTTCTTCCTGATCTATTTTCGATTCCATTTCACGAAAGACTAATAAATTGTTTTTACGCGTACGTGAAAACATCTACTTTTTAAAAAAGCATATGAGCGTCATTCTGTCTTGTAACACGAAGGGTGCGACACCGAAAGAAAGCCAAGAATACCTTTAACCCTTTTTCCTTCTATATCTTCTTTCATGGGGATACTTAAAGGCGCAGTACCTTTTACTTTTTAAGACAAACTGAATAGACAAAAATCGGGATTTCTTGTAGGCATATCTGTTTACGTGGTCGGAAAATGGAACCTTTTCAGGGTTGTCTGGGGATTGGAACACCCAGATGAGGAAAAGTTGGCCTTAAAACTAAAAAGTTGTGCGACTTCAGGAAAGCAATTCAGGCTCCGGGACCGTGGCTCTCAACAATTTCCTCGATGGTCGTGAGCCACTTCTGTTTCCTTCTTTGACTTCTGATGACCATTGTTCAGTCTTTACTAATGAACATCTGATTGGAAGGATATACGTGCTCAGCTGTTGTGGGAAGTTGCGATTATACTGTCGATGAAGTGCGACGATGCGAAGCCTTCGATTCCGTTCGCTTCGTGGGGTCGATCCTGAATCGCACGGTTATGAAAATGTCAAGGTTTGGGAGGGAATCGAGGTCGAAATCGATGCCTGCCTCTCGGTTCCCAGTCATCTTCATTCCATACGATGGATGCTTCTTTCTCGCATGCCGCATTGCATGAAGCGCGCATCTCATAGCACAGACTTTTCTACCCCTATCGTGGCACTCAACATCCGTTGCCGTACAGACAAGTGTTTGCAGGGCAAATGTCATGTACTCGTGAGGCTCTATTGACCCCTCTCACCCCCCTCCATGGAGCCATGTATCGTTCCCCTCACTTTGGGCCAGAGGACTACTTTTTTCGACCAAGCCTTGCTTCATTCCTCCTTTTAAAAAGTGGAATCTTCCTCTATTTAGGAGCATTCCCTGGCATTTTGAATATAGTCGGGTGACACTTCCCGAGCAATCAAGGAATATTCTCGGGGCATTCTTGTTGATATTCACCAGCATTCGTCATGGTCCTTGTCTCCACGGCCAGGGCCAGGTTAAAGGAAAGCCCCTTTTCCTCATTTCTGCACAGAAAGAGATCAGTGTGTCAAATGACGCGCAAAAGTGGGTCCAGGATCGTCTGGGTGACACGGAGTAATGTGTCATGAATTTTGATCTACTGAAACATGTCATTTGGCACATCTTACTGCAGCATTAGACACATTTAAATGTGCCCAGCCTCATGACACGTTATTCCGTGTCGCCAGGCCATAATCCAAACGTATCGATAGACGCACACTGTAGT